AGTACCACAACAGGAGACCACCGCATATGGTTCGAGTTCTTCCGTGTACACCGCACCCCATCAAGACACGCTTGCTCGGGGATTTGAGGTAGCAGAAACGGGCAACATTCGTCATGATGTGACTTTACATGTTAAACTCAATATTGTTATATTTTTCCTTGTAATTTTATCATGTTATTTCTTCTTTTTTTTGGGTTCTTTCTATAATCCATATTAGAGTTTCATAAATGTGTAATGAACTTTCATATATATCACTATGTTTGTTTGATGTAATCACAACTTTTTTGAGTTATATAAATATTATTAAACTTTTTTGCATTTTCATTTCTAGACATTTGAGAAAATAACATTTTGCTACACAGATTATTCATTCAACTCAAAAAATTTACAAATAAGTTGTTTACAAAACGCACTAACCAAACAGTTAAACTGCTTATTCAGAACAAGGGCAAAATGGTCAATTTTTCACAATCAGCTGTTTTCCAGACGCGTTAATCAAACAACCAAACAACTTATCCGGATCAACTGGTCATTAGCAGATTATCAGGATAAGCTGCTTATCAGCAGAAGCTGGATAAGCTGCAGCTGCCCCAAACAGACCCCTACTATCACCCCCAATCACACTTCTCCTAAGCTGATATCGTGCTAAAACACTTTTAGAAGCTCACAAAAGATGTTCGATACTTTTGACATACAATTAGTGCCTTCAACGGCCACCGGAGGAGGAAAAGGCATGAAAAACAAGGTAAAACTCAAAATCAAAACAATAGAAAGAAAAGGAAAATCTCAGATAGCCTGAAATATAAATTCGTACTTACAGAATTTATCCCGGAGCCAAAAATTCCAAACTACGACACCCAGAGGCCGCTCGGTTTACTGTTCGCCAGTCCGCCCATTGCCACAGTGGTCCAAGGGCGAGAGTTCGCGTAAGGCAGGCTTTCTGTCGCCTGAAACCCTACAGGGAGAGGGGAATGGAAGAGGAAATAGGAAGAAGGGAGTAGGTCGCGGCTTACCAAGTGTCGCTGGCCCCTTCTGCAAGCTCGTTGCAATTGCAGTTCGTCCCGCATGTTTTCTGCCGTATGAAACGAGAGGGAGGGAGAGGAGTATTTGGAGAGGAGGGGAAATTCGAGAGCTCAGGATGGAAAATTTCCCTAATCGATGCATATAATGCATAGGTTAGGTCGATTAAAAATAGTGCTTCGGGATTAGGAGAGGATTACAAAATACTAAAAATTTTCAAATTTTATATTTCTCTTTTCGTTCATAATTTACATACAGTGTTTTATATGGAATTGATCGATTTTTCGTATAGATTTTTATAAAATTGTTTCCATTAAAATCCGAGGGATCCGAAATTTGAAATATAATATTTAACCAAAATTTTTTTCCCATTTCTCAAAAATTGGTTATTACTATATAGTCCCTAAAGTTCAAGAAGTCTAGACCAGAAAGATCACACCTCAAACTCATCAACTCTTTCAGAACCTAAAATAATTTGTGCATCTCATAATAAATAAGCATTATAAAGCATTAATCCTAAAAAGTCTTATAAATAGCACACATCCTCACACTTTTAGTCTTAACTTCAACCAGTGGCGGTAAAAATATAAATAAACATAACGTCTAAGTAAAGATAAAACTTTAGTCAACATCTTATCCTTACTGACATAAAATTGTTTTATGAAATACCCTTTTCCAATTATTCCTATCAGGTGCCATTTGAAGCATGAGCTATATTTCAAGCCGGCATTATAGCTAGCCATGTTGCATTATATCTTTTTTTTTTTTTTTCGTAATCATTCCACATTATTTTTATACAATCCTCATAGTGCATCGCAACCTCTATTGAATACAACCAAAGCACTTGGTGTCGATCCCCCCCTCCCCTCCCGACCTAAATCGGATAAAAGAAAATGTGGGTGGTGTGCTTCTTCTATGTGGGTCAGTCGACTTGTTCTTCGTGATGACCAAGGCACTCTTTAAAAGCTTTTGAATAGAATACGCAATGCTGGGACAGCTCACAAGTTGAAGTGGAAGTTGTTTTGGCTTCGAATATAGTATTGAACCATAGACAAGGAAAACTTGTAGGATTATCATTGAGGGAGACAACAATAATGTTATGAATTCGCTTCGCCGCAGCATGGAGAAAAGATCTTGAAGCTTACAACCAAAACTTGGAGACAAATTTGCTTTCTTAACATTTCTAAGAGAAGTTTCCATTTTGTTCCTAGGGAGCTTCATAAAGTAGCCCATTTAGTTTAATGCAAAATGCACACCCTTCACGAATTCAACCAAAGCATCCGAGCTTATTTTTTATTACATATCTTAAACATGTGTTACTTCTGTTATTCTTCTTATATAATAATTTCTCTCTTTAACTTTCCTAACTTCACCACACATTAGTCTCAACATTCTCATTTATAGCACAATAAAATTGGCCTCTGATGACTTCTGGTTGCCAAAAACTAAGTTTCATATAGCATAGTACTCATGAGGTACATCTTCACATTAATAATCCATCTTTAAATCTAGAAGTAATACCCCAATCTATTATATTATCTTTTAGTATAGTAAAACTATAATATTGAAATTTTTCACACATAAGAAATCAACAAATCTTACAACAATATTGGTTGGTAATTGCCTAAATGATTTATTGAAAATTCCTTGGTCATTTTGTATATAAAAATCATTAACAATGCCTGCATATTTTTGACACATCTTTTCACTTACATACCTAGAAAGTTGATTCTAGTGGTACAACATCATATGGCTTATCAAATATAATGAACATCATATGAAGTTCATTTCTTTGATCTCTCTTTTATTCTCTTACATTATTCTTTAGAATAAAATATATCTCTATGGCAGAACTTAAGACATCTATTTTCAATACCAATATATATTTTTTAAGCCTACATTCTACTACCCTAAACTATGACTTCATTATAGAACACTTAAATTTTATTATTAAAAAATTACCAATATAAACATTACCTTTGTTCTTGAAAGTTGAATGTTATAACAAAAACCCTCCAATATCTCTTATACAACTTTAAATTTATAAGCATCATATCTAGACTTATAGCTCATGCACCGTTATCATCTTTCCTTAATGTCAATATATTTTAAGAAAAGACATGCTATTATCATTCTTAACGCATCTAACTTACTGTGTCAATCTCATTTCTCTTGCCTAGTCTATTTATATATCTCCTTTTTCCCCCCCTTGTAATTACCATGCCTATTGTACAAATTATCAGGAGATGAGACTTCAGATTTGCTCACAGCCTAACACCATTGAAGAACTTCTAACTTCTTAATAAAAATTTAATATATTTATAGTACTTATTTTTTTGTGATTCTTCTGGAAGATTGTCATAAATTCTAGATTGCATATAAGTGGAAAGACTTGACGTAGGACTGAAAAGCAACAAAAGATTGAATATAATGGCATTAAAAGCGATCGGAAGACTTGTTCTCATACAGCATCATATTATAAAAAAATAGTAGATTACTTGTGAAAATAATTAATGGGCAAACAAAAACGACATAAATTTTCAAACCTTAACCAGCAAAGCCAATCTTTAAGATCTTTCCTAACAAATTCTTGGGAGTGGTCAATGTTGGGTGCGGCATGAAAGTTGTCTCCACTGCTCTTGTTTCCTCTTCCCTGGAGAAGGCAGAAAAATTCCAAATGACTGACAGAACAATAGTAACTAAGACAAATAAATGGCTGAGGCCTCGAAGTTAATGATTAGCAGGAATAATTATGTTCAATAGATCAATCAAAAAAGAAAAAACAGCGAATTTCCAAAATATAACTTAGTCTAAGGTAAGCACTTCAAAATCCAAAAACAAACATAGCCTGAACAAAGGATGGATTACACAAATGGGTAAATATCATCCATTTCGATTCAGTATTACATTTAAACATCAACTCTCTTTAATGCAAATCTTTTTGCACAATTTCCAACTTGCCTTTGATCTATTCCTTTACTTTCTAATCTCTCAATATTTGTTCATCCAATAATGCTATTGGTACATTTCTTGATCTCTCTTATATATACCCAAGCTACTTTATTTCCTCCTCTTATCTTCTGTATATGTTACAAAAAAATATTTAGGATCAATCATCATATGTTTAATGTATCATTAATATAAACCTGAACATGCCATTTCTAGCTTTAGATGTTGATGCACGGTAAAGGTTCATACTGAAACCTTGCGATCATTTTTGTGACGCCAAGTTTCAGAAACTTGGGGGAGCCAAAAAGGGATAGCTGAAACGAGAGGGTCAGGAATTTAAGGAGGAAAGTTCGTTCTATAAAGTGACGCATACGACGGCGGCAGAGGTCAGATCGACATACCAACAGAGTTGACGGGGCGTACGAAAGCAGAAATATCGACAGGTGCAAATTAGGCCTTCCAGTAGCTGGAGGCAACAACGCTCACAGACGATGACATCTCTATCAAGTAGAGAGGAGGCAGTGTTGGTGTCAAGAAGAGCGGGCGTCGGAGTCATGCAGCCAATCGACGCATGTCAAGGAAAGGGAAAAAATTTGCATACGTCCAGCATAAGCTGCGATGCGTACGTCACCCAATGGGAGCACGCCACCTAAGGAATGTCAGTCTCATCACGTATATTTTAAATATTCCCTGTGTGACCCGTCGACCCAACACGCGCGGTGGAACGGCGGTAATACCACTTCAATACATTATAAATAACCAACCCGTAACTGTCCCTATGCAGACCACGGTACAACCCCAATAACCATTTGGTAACTCTAGAGAAACAGCGGACCCTCTGTATCGCGGTTGTGTAACGTTGCGGTAACCTCCAAGGCCTCTGTACCGCTCAGTAACCACCATGGAAGCTTAGCTTAACTCCCACAAAATGTACTGCTCAAATATCCGTGGTAAAAATTTAGAGAACAGTAAGAACTCTTTTTCGAAACAGGGTTGATGATTTCGTTCGCATCTAGGGTTGCCTTCCTCTCGAACGTTAAGGTACTGTTTAAGGTTTCACATTTGGATTGTGAAACAAGATTAAAATGGAGGACATCGGCAAGACTACAGTCGTGTTGGAAGAGACGAAGGTTGCGCAGTTTGACGAGGCGGAGAAGCCGAACCTAGAAGAGGTGAAGAAGCTGGAGGTCGAGCAGTCAAAGCAAATGGCAAAGGGTGGTCGTAAGAAGGATTTATAAGAGTCCAAGAAGAAGGGAGGCGAATCTATTAAGAAGCCCCAAGCAGTTTCTAGGTATTTTGAGATATTGTTTTGCTATCCCTAAAGGTTTTGTTATGATGGTTTTTTGTAACCGTAAATATCACTGTGAGTTATAAGACTTTGTTAAAAGTTTAGAAATTTAAAGTTGAGGTTTATTTCTTAAAAAAAAATCTTAAATCTTAAAAGATTTTAATTTTCAAAATTGTGCTTTTAAGAGAAAGTTCTGAACTTTAAAAGAGATTTTAATCTTGAGTTTTAAAAGATCTTCTTACTTTTGAGTTTTTTAAAAGTGGTTTTAAAATTAGATGCATTTTTAAATGAATTTTTTAATTAAGTGAGTTTGATCTTGTAAGAAATTTTTAGTTTGATTCTTTTTTACTGTACTTTGAAATCATTTTCAAAAAAAGATTCTTTTTATGAGAAGCATCCTTTGAGCTTGAACTTTCCTAATTTTTTTAGCACACTTAGTTAATATACAAAAATTTTTATTAGGTATTCATATCCATCACATTCTCATTTGTTTTCTTTTTTTTCTCTTTATATACGTACGCATTTATACAGTGGCCACTTTATATAGTATCACATTTAAATAAGCATGGTTCACATACATTAAAAATAAAATATGGAATTGACTTGGGTTAGGATAAGAGATAAATGGCAACCGGTAAATGATTCATATAGGAAAGCTCTGTCCAAAGAAATATTATAAATGTATGCTTGTACTAAGTAGTTTTGATTACTAACTACATTTATTGTTGCAATTATTTTCAGTTAACTCTATTTGTCGTCATTCTAACATTTATATGATGTTAAACTATTTTATTGCATTCTTGTAAGTTTTTTAACGCAAAATCAATGAATTGCAGATGTCGTCCATCTGCAGTACGAGAAGCTCTTGATAAGGTCCAGCCAAGGAAAACACCAAAGAAACACAGCAACAAACACACCAAGAAACATAAATATACAGGCAGGCACACACAAAGAAATTTGTCAAAAAAAAAAAGAAACAGAACAACAAACATACAACTAATACGCAAACACACCTCCACTTTAACATCGAGTTCTTCTCTGTTGCTCGGATATATATCTTCTCCTTCCCCGTCATACACAAAATGACAGTTTCTGTAGTCCATCTTCAACATCAAAATGGTGTCGGATGGGCAATAAAACAGTAAACCCTAGCTGCTTAAATAGCAACATTCGCACGCTCATATTTTGAAGGAAGGTTATCAAGCAGTTACATAGAATTTACTGCAGCGGTACCGCACCGTGAATTGGCGAAAGTTTTTCGAAGGTTACCGCAAAGTTAAACGAGCGGTACAGAGGCTTTGGAGGTTACCACAACATTACACGATCGATACATATGATCCGGAGGTTACCGCAACTTTACACAGCCACGGTACAGAGGGTCCGCGGTTTCTCCAGAGTTACGAAGCGGTTATTGGGGTTGTACTGCAGTCTGCATAGGGGCGGTTACAGATCAGTTATTGGTAATTTATTGAAGGGGCATTACCGTCGTTCCGCCGAGCGGTCCGGAACGATGGGTCACGCGGGGAATGTTTAAAATATATGTTGTGGGACAGGCATTGCATAGGTGGCGTGCTCCCATTGGATGACGTACACAGCGCTACGTATGCTGGACGTATGCAAAGTTTTTCCAAAGGAAAGCAGCCCTCAAGCGGGTCGGAAGGAGGCAGAATCGCATACAAAGATTTTTTTTTTTTTTGCGTGGAATAAGGCTCGACTAGAATTTTAAACGTAAAATCTAATAATTTTATTGAATTGATTTATTAAGAAAATTATATATATATATATATATATATATAAGCCCAAAGACTAATATATTAAATAAAAAAATAGAGTACATATAGATTTTGTGAAAGGTCCCAAATATGGCAGCCAGCCCACACAAAAACCACCAAATCAAATGGTTCCAAAAAAAAAGAAAATACAAAAAAAAAACATAAGAGATCTAAATAAAAAACCAAAAGGTGCCAAAATAAGAGTATCAAGTAGCTGGAGAGCGACCCGATTTTGTCTTGCCTTTGCCTCTAGTTCTAAGGAATGAGTAAGCTAATAAATTGGTCACATGAGTGTCATTGTCAGTAGTAACCAATGTATCATCCAATAGATTCTCTAGCTCGAGTCATCCTCCGTTCTTTTTTTTCTTCCTCTTCTTCTCGTGTAGACCTACCATTCCTCTTCCGAAGATTGGCTGACCTGATCAGCAAAATGGTCTGAAGTGTGCATGATATGTGTAGGTTGTTGAACATTAGAAACAACTAATTGTTGTACCAGCTGACTGATCTTCTATCGGGTCAAAGGACTCTCGTGTGTCTTGCCATGTAAGTGAGTTTTCTTCAAAAAGAATGAGCAGTATAAACACTTTTGAATCTATATTTGTAGTATGGTGTTCTTAATTAGAATCTGCGATGTTGGGTAGAGGATCGGGTTGCACCTTCTCAGCAAAGATGGTAGGTGACTAATCTTTAGCGATATTCGGCCTTAGATGAGGATGCAAGCAATAGCAAATAGTGGAACTATGGCCAAACATATTACAATGAGAGCAATAAGGAGGATGTGGTTTTATTTCAACCTTTGCCAATACCCGTTGTGAATAGTGTCAATCCATATCTCATCTAGAGTTGGTTGAGTGATATTTCTTTCAACTAAAACACAAGTCACAGAGGGTCCGGTGACAGCAAGCGTAGAACTATCCACCTTGAGAAGCTTACCGTAAGCAGCTGCTAAAGAGTAGATGATTTCCATGTTGAACAGATGTAATTTTAACCACGGAAACTTTATCCGAACTGGAATGATAGAGGACTCCGCTTTTAGATCAAAACCGACAGTCCACTTCAAAATTTTCATAAAACGATTGTCAATCTTGATAGTGATATTGATAAATTTTTGAGAAAAAAGCGAGTGTAATCGACATCGTGAGATAGCTGAATAAGTATATGTCAACCGTCTAGTAGACCAATGTCCCAACTGCCAGTAGTTTCATAGCATCAAATTCTTTCCTAATGATCTCCAGTTTTGGGTGACCATAAAAGAACTTCCACACTAAAGCAAAAAGCCAAGAGGACGCTAGAGCACGGGTTTCAACCTCAGTGAAAATAAGTGCAGGCTTCCCTTTTTTTTTCTTTTTAATTAAAAGTGTGATCACCACCACCTTCAAGAGCCTCGTGGTACGATTGTGAAATATTGCAGGACTTACCGATAGTAAAAGCAGGCTCTAAACCTGGAGGAGGGGCACGAGCAGAAATGGGCAAATCGTCGGCAAGGGCATTTGCATAGGAACGGAGCATCGATGTCATCTTCCTCACAAGAAGGTCACAGTCAAGAAAGAAACGGTCTAGCGGGCTGCAAGGAAGCGAGAGCATCGAATAGAGATGACGCGAGCTAAGGGAGCTGCAAGCTACAGAGGCTGCGAAGCAGGCAGA